AACTTCAATCTTTATTGAGCCTATTGTCTTTTTGCATCTAAAATAACAACATACCTGTGGAATGTCAGGGTAACTTGTAACTTCCCTTTTTCCAGATCCCGCAGAGCACAGCAAATGGCGCCAGGGCGGAGACCACAAATTCCCTCATTGTTATTGTTATCATGTTAATTGTTGACTGTTAACTATGTAAAAGAAGCATGTGTCTATCAATTTACTTTTTATCCAATCCCAGAGTTTTCCCCACTTTGCTTTCTCTCACCTCCCTAACCTAGCACCAATGGATTTAATGTAACCCACTTACATATCCACCTTTGATGGTAATTTATAAAAATAGATGAAAAACCACCATTCTCCGGAGCATTATCCCAATATCTTGAGATTTTGCTTCCCGGCAATTGCCGACAGATTGGCTCAAATAAACTCACAAAAATTCTTTACAAGTTTGAATGTTTTCATACAGTAATACTGGGCTGTTCTAGCAAATTACCCAACTGGGGGTGGTCATGGGGACTTCCACGTTTATAGCCAGTCAGCAGGAAGTGGAGGGGGCCTGGGGACACCACTGTCACCCCAGACTTGTTGTTGGCATGTAAAGTGAGGGTAGTCTTGTGGAGGACTTGACCCTGTGCCTGTGGAGTGTGCACTCACTCTAAGAGTAGTCAGAGTCAGAAGAGCAATCTATCCAGTCAGTGTTACCCCAGATTGGGGGTGAAACAGAAAAAAACAGAAATTTGAAAATCATTCACGCAATGTCAAATCCACCAAAATACATCATGACCAAGTTTACCCCGGGAATGCAAAACTGACATTTGAAAAGCAAATCAACGTAATTTACTCTACTGAGAGAGTAACAAAGAAAAACCACACAAGCATCTCAGTAGATGCAGAAAACAAACTTGACAAAATCTGACACCCTTCATGATAAAAGTAAAATTTTTATGCCCTGGTCAGGTAACTCAGTTGGTTAGAGCATCATCCAGATATGCCAAGGTTGCGGGTTCGATCCCCAGTCAGGGTACATACAAAAATACAAGAATCAACTAATGAATGCATAAATAAGTGGAACAACAAAGTGATCTCTCCCCCCACCAGCCCCTCACCTGAAATCAATCAATCAATAAATTTTTTTTTCAGACAACTGGTAATAGGAGGAAACGTCTTTGGCCCAAATGAAGGGCATCTACCCGCAGTTAACACCACTCAGTCCTGGGGAGCAGAGATGTCCACTGTCACCACTTCCATGCAGCACATGCTGGGGAGGTCCTGGCCAGGGAAACAGGAAATAAGCCATAGAGATAAAGGGCTAAGGACCGGGAAAATAGAAGTAAAACTGTGTCTATTGGCAGGTGACATCTCTAGAAAATCCAAGGATTCTACAATAACAAAAACTCAGAACTAATAAGTGAATGCAGCAAGGTTGTAAATATAAGATCAACACACAAAAGTCCATTTATTTTCTATATATTAATAGAGAACAAATGGGAAATGAAATCAAATAGGCTCTTTGCCAGCATCAAAGCCAGAAAATATTTAAAAATAAATTTTACAAATGACGTTAAGATCCCTACCCCAAAAACTATAAAAAACAAAACACTGAGAGAAATTAAAGACCTAAAAAAAATGGACAGACTATGTTCATGAATTGGAAATCTCAATATTAGTAAAATGTCATCTTACCCTAAATTGATCTATAAATTCAATACAATTGCAAACAAAAATCACAGCAGAATTTTTGTAAAAAATGTCAAGCTGATTCTAAGATTTATATGGAAATAGGCAAAAGACCCAAAGTTGGTCTTCACCAAAAAGGATAAAAACAAAAGTCTTCTCTAAATCTAATCCAAAATTAGTCATCAGAGGAATGAAGTGCACATGAAAACACAATAATCTACCATTTCACATCCATTAGAATGTCTAAAATTAAAAAGACGAACCCTATCAAGTGATGGGAGGATGTGGATGGAGCAACCGAAAAGTGGAGAATGCACCACGGTACAACCCTTTGGAAAACAGAGTCCTGGTTTCTTTATTAAATATTTTTATTTTAAGAGAGGGAGAGAGAGAGAGAAACATTAATGATGAGAGAAAATCATTGCTCAGCCGCCTCCTGCACATCCCCTACTGGGGGTTAAGCCCGAAACCTGGGCATGTGCCCTTGACTGGAATCGAACCTGGTACCCTTCAGTCCTCAGGCAAACGCTCTATCCACTGAGCCAAACCAACTAGGGCAGTCTTGGTTTCTTTAAAACTTAAACACATGCCTACAAATAACTCAGCCATTGCTCTCTCAGCTATTTATCCAAGGGAAATAAAAATATATGTTCCCCAAGAGACTTGCACATAAATATTCATAGCTGCTTTATTCACAATAGCCAACAGGTATAAACATCCCAAACGTTCAACAAACAAATGGGTAATAACACAGTGTAGCACCTTCATACAACAGAGCACTGTCAGCAGTAAAAAATAATGCACTACTGCCCAGCCGTAGAAGACAGAGAACCATAATACTCCTGGTGGAGTCAGGAGTCAGAAAAGTGATTCAGAGACAACCCCCAGGGGATGGCATTCACTTGCTGATCCATTCTTGCCATGAATATTAGTGACTACTACCAGGGGTCAGGCACTGCCTTGGGAGAGACCAAGACCTGGTCCTTACCGAGCACAGGTTCTCTAAGAAGACATCATCAATAAACAGGGTCATTATAGACTGACAAGTACTTTCTTATTATGCAAGAAAGTCCACAATAATTTGTGATTGGGAGTCAATAAAAAGGTGGCAAAAACCTACTAGTGCAGAGTGACCAGGGAAGGCTTCGCTGAAGAAATGATATCTGAGTTGTGTCATGGACCAAAGGGCAGATGGAAGAACCCTGGCAGACAAAAGAGAGAGGGCAAAGGTCCTCAGGCAAGAAGGAGGAAATGTGTCTGAGGAAATGAAAGGCAACCAGTGTGACCGGTGCTTAGCAAGCAAAGAGAGTGGGATGGGGTGGGTTGCAGTGTTGGGTGGAGACAAGAAGGGCTCTGGGCAAAACCGTCTAAGACAACAGGAAGTCACGGAAGGATTTCCAGCAGGCAAGTGACAGGGTCTGCCATGAGGAGAAGGGTTAGAGTGAGGACCAGTGAAGCAATGAGACCAGCTTGGAAGCTCCTGCAGTGGAGCTGGCAAGGGCTGGTGGTGACAGGACCGGGACACTGCAGCAGGGACAGTGAAAATACCATTTTGGATGTACCTTTGAAGCAACACTGATGGAACTTGCTGATGCATTCACGTGAAAAAAGAGAAAAAGGAAGGAATGGCAAATGGTGGTATCACTTACTAAGATGAGAAATTCGGGGCGGAACAAATCTGGGGAAAGATCAAGAATTTCATTTTAAGATGCGTACCTAGCCAGCAAGTGGACGTGCCAAGGAGACAGTTGGCTACATGAGCTTGGAGCTCAGGAGAGAGGCCTGGGCTGGAGAAGCAAAGTCTGAGGTCCCCATCACACGGATGGTGCTAAAGCCAGGGGCCCATGGGAACATCTCTCAGAGGGAACAGAAGTGGGCCCGGGACTGAGCGCCAGGGCGCCACACTTTCAGAACTCCTGCCACAGGCACAGAAGGAGCAGTGAGGTGCGATGAAGCACCCACCGCATTCTCAGGGCCCGGAATGTCCTCTGCACACAGAAGTCCCGAATGCACGAAGAAAGGAAGGATTAGGGGCCGGCTGGGGGGGTTCAGAACGAGTCACCCCGAGGTGTGCTTTTGGGTATGCGGATTGTTCTCAGCTAAAGGCAACTTTAGCAGTGGGATCAAAAGAAGCTTCTTCTGTCCCTCCCTTTACTACCTAGAAAACCTGAATTAGGGGCCTTGCCCATAAGAAGAGCCGATCAGAGACCACCTCTTCTGACCTATCTATATGCCAGGACAAACTCTCTTTCCTGAACATGCATTCTCCCTGCAATGGCCCTTTGAAACCCCGAGGCACCTCACCTCGTCCCTGCTCGGGATGTCTATATACTTGTGTTCCGCCCCTCCCTTCACTACCTAGAAAACCTGAATTAGGGGCCTTGCCCATAAGAAGAGCCGATCAGAGACCACCTCTTCTGACCTATCTATATGCCAGGACAAACTCTCTTTCCTGAACATGCATTCTCCCTGCAATGGCCCTTTGAAACCCCGAGGCACCTCACCTCGTCCCTGCTCGGGATGTCTATATACTTGTGTTCCCTTTCTGTCTCGGAACCTCCTGCTTGCGGGGTCTCTGACTCTCATGCATGCCAATTCCCATATGTATTAAACTTGGTCATTTTCTTTTGCTAACGGGCCTCATGACTATTTGGTTATTAGACCAGATTATTATTGAGGATAGAGGAAAGGTTCTCCTCCCCTCCCCCCAAGCAGGGCCCCCTGGCCACATGTTGCTGAAAGACGCAATGGGAGGAGCAGAGAGGAGCCCGCTGGCTTTTGCGGCAAAGGAACACCAAAGGCGCTGACTCTAGTCTAGAACACGGTCAGAGCGACTGGAACAAAACCAGGCACTTCCATTCAGATGGAAATCAAGGTGACGCCCCTGACCGCCAATCAGCCACAATCCCACGATGACTCACTCTGCCCACAACAACCCCCATGACCCAGGGAGAAGCAAAGCCTGAGGTCACCATCACACAGATGGTGCTAAAGCCGGGGGCTGTCAAACCTCACTGAGTCTTCACATCAGCGGTTCCTCAAGTGCCAGACCTGCTGTCCAGCGAGGCCACAGCTGCCGTGGGAGCATTCGCCAGCTTCCCCACCTGAACCACGGACACCCTCGCAGTGCACTCAGCCACTTCCCACCCCTGACCTGGGAACTCTCCCCCCGAGACTCCTGCCTGCCTCCCCATCTACTGCCGCCCCCCCCCGCCCCCGCCCCCTGGCTGCCACGCCAGTCTTCCTCCTCCTGGTGCACAGCAGTGCTCAGCAAACGTGTGCTCCCTCCCACTACTAGAGAGGAAACAAAGAAATCGGCGCAGACTCACCAGGGACAGTCAGCACAGACGGGGATCTTTCTGGCTGCTCACTCACACGGCGGCTGTTTTGAAACCAGACAATGCCGACGGGCTCCGGCGGGCCCACAGCCTGACAGGTGAGGTTGAAGGCGGTGTTTCTGGTGACGTTCATGCTCTCGGGCTCCCTGGTGAAGTAAGGAAGTCCTGCCGAGGAAGAGTTAAGGGAAGGAATGTTTCAAACCCACAAGCAAAGGCACAGCCTGAGGGGAATGGCAACTACTAGACCTTGGTCACAGGAGATTGCTTTCTACGCCATCTCAGGTCGGAAAGGCCAGGTCTCCCCTGAAAGCTGGGTGAGAAAGAGGACAGGCTGATCTCCTCCAGTCCGGCTCCAGCTCACTGGGGCAGGCCGGCAGGTTTTCCGTCTTCCTCACCCAAATAAACAGTAAAAGCCACGCCTCGCAACAGGTCTGCCTGCTTTCCAGGACCATCGCCTGTGTGTGAGGCTTTGAGATGGCTGACGGGAACTTTAAAATCTGTGCATGAGTCTAGGGCTAAACGCAGCCTCAGAAAAACACTGTAGACACAGTTACAGTCACAGCCAAGATCTCCAACTGTCGTTCCAGGATCAAGGCCATAAGGAAGGGCACTTCAGGAACGTCTCAGAGGAACCCAAATAGCTCACTTATTTGGGGCGTGTGCCAAAAATTTATCAGCTGAAGCTAACTGTCCTCACACATTCACACTGTGTTCTTTTGGGGCTGCCAACTCACAGAACTGGTTCCTACAGGAATGATGTGGGAGTGGTAAATGCAAAACATTTTTTTCCTGCTTCAGTTTTGTAAAACTCCATTAGGACCTAATGGGTCCCTGCTCTGAGCATTTTTTCTGAGATTCTGACAAGTAAAATGTCCTCTAAATATTTTTCCCAGATAAACAGCAAATGTAGGACCCCCACCCCCACCCCCACCCATGTGGAGGCCCTGCCCCCAATTCATGCTGACACATACTAGCTTGTCCAGTCTGGGATGGACCTGAGAGCAAAGCTATAAAAGAGACTCCTGAGGGCCTGCCTCCCCCAGGCCGCCTGCAGCATCAGTGGGCACCAGGCTCCTGTTTGCAAAAGAATGGGTAGCAGAGGAGCCTTTTAGAGTAAGATGTTTCCAGTTGAAAGTCCCTAGAAAGCTAATCACCTGCTCTACAGCCTGTGATGAGGAGGGTCAGGAGAAAGTAGGAAAGAAAGGTGTTCTGATGGTCTGCTCACGGGAACCTCAGAGAGCTAGGCGAGGATGCAGGGATCTCAGAGGGCAGCACCTGGGGGGTGGGAAGTGACCAATGGGGTGATGACAATAAAGATGCTTCCTCCTTGAAGCCTTCCTTGCCAGGCCCTGCCACTGCTGAACCCGGAGATCCAGGGACTGGGCTCACCTGGCCTGGCTCACCTGTGCATCAGCTCACACGCCCCACTGGAGTTCAAGTGCCTCCAGGGTAGAGACTGCCTTCTCCTCATCTCATGTCTCACTTCTCACCCCCACTGAACCCATCTCATGCCTTGTCATGTCACAGAACTGCACTGAACCAACACCTGACAAACCCGAGGGCCCTGAAAGGAGTCCCAGACCGAGCTGCTGACCCTTCTGGGAAACCCCCTCCCCAACCCCCTCCCCCATCCCCCTGGTCTCACCACCCACAGACTCAAGACAAGAAAAGATGCTGAGTAACAAGCAAATTGCCACCTGGCCAGGGAGTGGTACCTGGTGCCAGTACCGAGAGCCGGGTAATGGAATGCATTTGCTTCCTAAAAAAAGTCATCAACTTTTAAAATTGTAAATAACCTCAGGACAAGGAAGTCATACAATTTCAGTGCTTATGGGTCTGCAAGGTTTGCACAGAGTTATAAATGGGCCTGCCAAACTGCAGTGTTATGTGCAAAGCAGTTAATACTGGCCACTCTGTGGCCTCTGCACTTACCTTGTACCTCGACGTAGATGGGGTCAGACACGATCTCTTCATTGTTTATGTTCGTCTTACAGGTGTACGCCCCACTGTCTGACCGCTGCACCCTCATTATGCTTCAGAGAAAACACAGGAAGATATGCACGGTGACTACCCTTCGAGCTCCTACTACAGAAACAGAACATTCTTCAACTTCTCTGTCAGATGCTGTGATGTTAATCTCACATATCGACATGGCTAGGTCGCGGTGCCCAGATATTTGGTCTAACACCACTTTAGCTGTTTCTGGGAAGGTATTTTTCAGATGAGATTAAATTTAAATCAGCAGACTCCGACCACAGCAGATGACCCTCCACAATGAGGGTGGGCCTCATCCAGTCCTTTGAAGGCCTGTGAGCAAAGTCTGAGGTCGCCTGAGGAAGAGGAATTCTGCCTCCAAACTACCTTGGGACCCAAGACTGCACAGTCGGCACCTACAGCCACACTGGCCAAGTCTTTAAAACAAATTACTCTGTGCTGCTACTTGTCTTCACTTCCACAGAAGCCTCTATATTGGAGTGCAAATTTGTAAGGTTGTTTTGGGTGGTCACCATAACTAGGGGGCCTCATGGCCTTTAGGGGCCAGAAGCAACTGTTCCGTATCCCAAATGACCTTCTGAGACCGGAACCCATTCCATTTTACACACACACATGTATTTTGTCTGGTTTTAACACCCACCTAATTTCCCAGGACTGTAATTACCATGAAAATGGGGGGCGAGTGGGTGGTGGCTGGTGAGAGAGCAGCAATGGCCCTGGCCTGTCTGGAACTTTGCACCATTTGGAAAAGGGATCACTGACATCCAGGCTGCATCTGCAACTGCCATGTGGGGGGTGGGCAGTCGGGGGAGACAGGGTACAGGTCTCTGCAGACCTGGTGTGGCCCCGCTTAACAAGTTCACATTCATATTCTTTTATTATAAATCACCTTTCTTTTGTTCTTGTATTACATTTGGACAATATGTTATAAAATCTCTGACATTAAAGAGGTGGCCTTGGCTCTAAGAGACTGAGAGTCCTGCTTTCCACCTTCCCAGCGTGTTTACAAACAGGAACTACTCAGCATACATGACATCTGCCCTGGGCCGGGTAGGAAGGGTGAGGGGAGGAGGGACACTTGGAGATGCTCTCCCGCAGAGGGGGCTCTATTGGCCCAAAGACACTGATCTCTCCGCTCCTCAGACACAGCAAAGACGTGACTGGGGAAAAGAGAAAACCATGGAGGGGTCCACCTGCCTAGCAGCCTGCACCCCAATACAAATTATTTATCCAAAGCAAAATAAAACCCATCCCTCAGCCTGTCAAAGGCCGAGGCTTAAAGCTCAAAAGAGAAAGGGGGGCAGGCAAGGGAAAGGGGGCCCCCACCGACCTAGGCAATGATTAGCAGCCACCAAGGGGTAACAGCACCATCAAGGCCTCGAGGAGCCACAGTCTCCTTGGGTCAGAACACACACTGGACATTTTAAATTTAACTTCTCACCCAAGCCGGTCTGGTTCAGTGGATAGAACCTTGGCCTGTGGACCGAAGGGTCCTGGGTATGATTCCGGTCAAGGTCATGTACCTCGGTTCCAGGCTCCTCCCCGGCCCAGACCCAGGCCCTGGTTGGGGCGCATGCAGGAGGTAGCCAATCGATGTGTTTCTCTCACATTGATATTTCTCTCTGTGTTTCCCTCTCTCTTCCACTCTCTCTAAAAAGCAGTAGAAAAATATCCTCAGGTGAGGATTTTATATATATGTATATCTTCTCTCCAACAAAATCATTTTGCAAATCCTATTAGCTTATGCTAAACAGAGCAACTCAATTCCATGTCAAGAGTCAGTCAGAAGTGGGGGACCCAGGAGTGTGACTGTCACCGAATTTCCTGATGTGGCAATCTGAGTGGCACCCCACTGACTTAGGTGTACTCTCTTCCCCTTTCCCCTCACTGCTGTGTAGGAGAACATTAAATCTGGAACACATCTGATGAATGAACATTGGGCCTGGGAGGACCCAGGATTAAGTAAAGACTAGATCTCTCCATGTTTGGGGGCAGGAGCTGAATGTCACAAGAAAAGACAGAAAGAGACCTCACAGGACAAATATCTCCAAATAAGGGGCTGATGCTCCCCTGATCATCTGTCATGGTGACAGAAAGGGGCTGAAGAAAGAGGGAGAGAAGTGTGTGTCTGGAGTGGCGTGCTGCCCATTGTGAGTCATAACGAGTGGTTGAATGTGCATAGTGGTTTCAGCGGCTCCTGAGACCTCTCGTCAGTCTAGTGCATTTTCAAGGGAAGCTAAGGTCACAGCTACTGCAGAGAAGTCCTTGCCAGACAGTTCACAAGTTCACTTTAAAAGAGGTGTCACTGTTTTCAGGCAAAGCCTGGGATTCTACAAGTGAATGACAAGATCTGACAGGCTGAAAACACCCGTGCCTATGAAGACCTGGCTCTGGGCCTGGGACCGCAGCACTTCAGCAGCAGGCTTGCCAGATGACTCAGGGAGTTGGCAACCAGGGAGAAAGTGACAAGCAGAGAGGGATACAGGGCAGGGCCCCAGGGAGCAGCTCAAGGCAGATGTGGAGCACACCTGTTCAGAGGCACAGGGAGCCCCAGAAACCACCAGGCACAAATAACATGTTAGCATCACACCCTGGCTGCAAAAGTCCAGGAGTACCTTCAGCCGACCAGTGAGGAAAATTCACGCCAGGACTAGAAAAAGGGGCAGAAGAAACATGATCCAAACTCTGTCTTCAGCCATTTGTGGACCAAAAATAAAAGGGGGGCGGGGGAGGTTTCTATATGTTAGGATGGGAGAAAAGGCCTTTTTTGCTGTAGCCTTCCACAATTTATGGGAAGCACCTGGCAATTAAACCCCAAGACTGTTAGCTCCTCTGATTCCAACAGCCCCTCTGTTCAAACTGAGGGACAAGATAAGCTACTTTCAAGGCTACATTCTTGCATACCCTTCCTCCCTGCTGGTATACAACCCAGAGATAATTAGTAGAAAGTTCCCTTCCCCCCTCCTCTTCAAACAAGCCTTTTTTGAACTCTTCATAACTTTTGCTCTAAGAATGTTTTACAGGCTTTAGAAAAATACTGATAAGACACCTCCCTAGGACAGCTGCCCAGATTGTCTCCTGAAGAACTAATAAAGTCAACCCCTCTGATGTATGCTCAATTTCACCTAGCAACTGCAGCAGCCCGAAAATCCCCCTCCCTTCCTGTCCCAGGCTTTAAAAGGTGGGGGGCAGCTTCTGTTCCTTGCCCTTGCATTGATTAGCAATGTACTGGCCCTTTCCGTTTGGGGAAAGTGAAATAAACTATCTATCTATCTCTTCTCTCAGTTGAAAAGTCTTTCACAGCTCACATCACCTGCCCAAAAACTAACACTATGGAAAGTAACCTTACAGGATGTTCTGATTCTAAATTCCTACTAACTGGCAGGTCATGTTGGGTAGTCATGCCCCATGTATATAACTTTTTTTGTAAAAGCTTTACCTTTGTCTTAAGAAAGCCATGCCCATTGTTTCTGTGCATCTAGGTTATCACACCTTTGAAATAAGCTGTAACCGTCCTCAAGGGAACACATGACCTTGTTAACTATCCTGTAATCCAATCCCTGCCTTGTTTCTCCCACCTTACCACCACCCCCATCCCCACCCCCCAAGCCTTCATGTAATCTTTCTTCTGTTCCCTCTTTAATTTCAAATGTAAAACTGTTCTTCTTGGGATCATTTGAGATCTTGCTCCCCAGTATATGTTGTCAGTTTGGCTCAAATAAATGCTTATAAAAATTCTCAGAGTTCCAGTCAAGATGGCAGCCTAGGTAAATGCAGTACTCACATCCTCCCACAACCACATCAAAATTACAACTAAACTGCAGAACAACCATCATTCAGAACCACCTGAAGTCTAGCTGAACAGAAGTCCTACAACTAAGGAGATACAGAAGAAGCCATATTGAGACTGGTAAGGGGCAGAGACGTGGAAAGGGCTGGTTGGTCCCCCACCCACTTGTGATGATAAAAAATCATGAGGGATATCTCAGATGTGGAGGTCCCCCCCTGAGGAGCGAGTGGTCCCAGACCCACACCAGGCACTATAACCCAAGATTCCAGTAACAGGAAGAGAAGTCCCCATAAGTTCTGGATGTAAAAACCAGTGGGGATTGCGGCTGAGTGAGATGGAGGGCTGTTGGAGTCCCAGATATTCCTTTTAAAAGGACCCACCAATGGACTTATTAGGCCTCACTCACTCTGCGCTCCAGTGTTGGGGCAGCAGGGACATAGAGGGAAGAACTGAATGTCTGGCATCCGTGTGAGAGCTGAAGAGGCAGCTTTCTCCCAGACAGAAGTGCTGGCAGAGGCAACTGCTCCTTGTCTGGACTCTCCCCCTCAAAGCCAGCAGGTGGGAGCCATATCTGAGTCTCCATCAACCTGGTCAACCCTGCTCTCCCCCACCCTGGTGATTCCCTGAGGTGCTGTCCCACCCAACGTGGGGCCCACCTAAGCCACTTCCAGTGGTTTCCCATACAAACGGCCTCTCTTGGATCATGATTTGGACTTTCGTAAAATCTTTCAAACAAGGAGCATCTGGCCTCTGGGGATCCTATATGTCTTGCTAAGTGGCCCCAGGCCCAAAACTAGAGGCAGGCAGCAGCAGTTTGCAGCTTGGCTTCTCCTGGACACCTCTAAGCCCAACACAAGTAGCAGCCATCTTCGGACAGCTTTGTAGCTTTTGTCAGGTGGCCTGGGCAGGGCACAGGCAGTGGCTGACCTTGGCCTGCAACTCCTGGGAGGCCCCAGAGCCAGTGCACCCAGTGGACAGCTTCAGGTCACACTGGATTACAACCCAACCACCTTCACAAGTGACTCACTCAAGGGGTGGACTTGGTGGGCACCAAAGCCCCAATGAAGTTAAGGTTGGCTCTGTTGAGGTTTGCCGCTATACAGTAGCTCTTCTTCCGCTATCCCAGCTGGTCCTCCCAGCCAATAGGCCTGGGGGGAGGTCAATCCTTCTCAGTGAGGTGCCAACAGTAAGCAAGGCTCAACTACAACAGAAGGGTGCACAGAGCTCACATAGGGGTAAGGAGGAGGGGGACACCTGGAGCCCCTGGCTGGCCACTAGGTCCTATAGAACACCTGTTACATAAAGCCACTCTACTAAGACCAGTGGGGGAGAGGGACACCTCCAGCCCCTGGCTCAGGTTACTGTGGAGGCTGGCCACTAGGTCCTACAGAACACCTGTTACATAAAGCCACTCTACTAAGACCAGGAGAACTAGTAGCTCTAGCTACTACATAGAAACAAACACACAGAAGCAGCCAAAATGAGGAGACAAAGAAACAGGTCCCAAATAAAAGAACAGGAGAAATATCCAGAAAAGGAAATAAATGCAATGGAGGCAAGGCAAACAAACTAACAAATACAGAATTCAAAATAATGGTTATAAGGATGCTCAAGGAACTTAGTGAGAACTTCAATAGCATAAAACAAACAAACACATGTGGAAACCATAAAAAAGAACCAGTCAGAAATGAAGAAGAAAAAGATAAAAAATGTGAATAATAAAATGGCAATAAATACAATATGTAAAATTACCTTAAATGAAAATGGATGAAATGCTCCAATCAAAAGACATACAGTGACTGAATGGATAAGAAAACAAGACCCTTACATATGCTGTCTACAAGAGCCTCACTTCAGATCAAAAGACACACACAGACTAAAAGTAAATGTATGGAAAAAGATATTCTATGAAAACGAAATCGAACAAACAACAAGTTGAGGTAGCAACAAGTTTGGTACTCATACCAGACAAAATAGACTTTTAAACAAAGGCTATATAACAAGAGACAAAGAAGGACCCTGCAATTTCACCTTTGGGTATTTTTCCGAAGAAACCCAAAACACTAAATCAAAAAGTCATATGGTCCTAGCTGGTTTTGCTCAGTGGATAGAGAGTCAGCCTGCGGACTGAAAGGTCACAGTTTCAATCCCGGTCAAGGATACATGCCCAGGTTGCAGGCTCGATCCCCAGTGGGGGGTGTGCAGAAGGCAGCTGATTAATGATTCTCTCTCATCGTTGATGTTTCTATCTCTCTCTTCTTCTCCCTTCTTCTCTCAAATCAATAAAAATATATATATTTTTAAAAAAGGCCATATGCACCCCTATGCTCACTGCAGCATTATTTACAATGGGACCTAAGTATCCATTAATAGATGAATGAGCCCTAGCCGGGTTGACTCAGTGGATAGAACATTGGCCTGCGGACCAAAGGGTCCTCGGTCGATTCCAGTAAAGGGCACATATCTTGGTTGCGGGCTCCTCGCTGGCCTAGGCCCTGGTTGGGACTCATGCAGGAGGCAACCAATCGATGCGTTTCTCTCACATCAATGTTTCTCTCTGACTTTCCCTTTCTCTTCTACTCTCCTCCCTAAAAAATGGAAAAATATACTCAGGTGAGGATTAAAAAAAAAATAGATGAATGAATAAAGAAGTGGTGTATATATAAACAATGGAATATGATTCAGCCATTAAAAATTGAAATCTTGCCATTTGCAACAACATGGATGGACATAGAGGGTACTATACTGAACGAAATAAGTCAGACAAAGGCAAATACCATATTTCATTTATATGTGGCATCTAAAAAACAAAATAAATGAGCAAACAGAACAAGAACAGACTCATAGATACAGAGAACATTTTGATGGTTGTCAGATGAGAAGGGAGTTGAGGGCTAGGTGAAAAGGTGAAGGAATTAAATACAAATTGGTAGTTACAGAAGAGTCATGGGGATGTAAAGTACAGCATAGAGAATATAGTCAATAATAATAACTCGGTATGCTGTCAGGTGGGTACTAGATTTACTACGGTAATCACTTAGTAAGTTATAGAATGTTTAATCACTGGGTTTTAGACCTGAAACTAATATAATATTGTTTGTAAATTGTAACTGAAAAATAAAAAATTATTTAAAATAAGAAAAATTCTCTGCAGGTTTGAATGTTTCTTAACTCGACACATTCATGTCAGGAAGAGCTTAGCAATGGTCTGGGGAGAAGGACTGTGTGCTGGCATTAATCATTAGCAAGTCCACGTCCATTGTATCTATAGCACAGGACAGATTTTTCACAAATAATTCTGTGCTACTCTAGACAACCCAGGAAAGGTCCCCATGCTGAAGGCAGGGTAGGGTGGGCTGGAGACAGGAAGGAGTGGTATCCCGAGGCCCGCCCTGTCCCCAGCAGAAACAGCAGGCCCAGTCTCCATGCAGGCTCAACAGGAAAGGCTCTGAGTTCAGAACAGCAATCTAAGCATTCCGACAACTGAGGAACAGTTCCAGAAAAAGTGCAGATTCAAGAAAATGCCCAGTTCTGGAGATACGGGTCTTCCCTCACCAGACCCCATGGTGGGCAGCACAGTGGGAGAGGAAAGACCCAATCAGGGGCTTCACCAGGAATATCATGACTCTGAGATCAGGTGGAGACCCCAAAGCTTGAGAAGGAAGAAGAGCAGATCATTCATACACGAATCAGATTAGCACTGGACTCCCCAAGAACAAATCTGGGAGTGAAAAGGCAGGAGTACATCAATGACTTTCAATTATTTTCCTTTTGAATTCTGCATCAGGCCAAACTACTTCAAGGTCAGGGTAGGGAAAACACGGCATTTTCAGAGATGCAGGTCCCAGGAGGCTAGTGGAGGATGGGCTTAATGCCAAGTGAGGGAGTGAAAGCCAAGCAGGGGCCTGGGCTCCTGGGAGCAGGGGCTGGGAGTCAGAGGAGTGAGGGTCCCCACGAGGAGCACAAAAATGGCTCAACTGGACCCCAGACCAGAGCAGGAGCGGGGATGGCTCTAGGACAGGCATTGCCAAGCAAGAAGTCAGAGCTGATAATCTTGTCACTTTCCAAAGAAATGCCTGTCTTTCGGTAGAGTTTCAAGAAGAATGCGTGATTAACACTTAGAAAATTAAACAAACAGGCAAGGAAACAATATTAATTTCAGGAAAACAAAAAATGCTAAGATAAAAACGTGATTACCGTCTATGACATGATTCAGCTGAAAACAGCATTTATGTGGCCCCAATTATGTGAGCCGTGGGTACTGATTCACCCCAGCTGTGAGTAACACTCTATTAGATTAACATACACACTGGAGCCTGGCACACACACAACCCAAGCACCGAATGTCTCTGGAAAGATACTCAAGAAATGGGTGACTCAGGCACCCACTGGCAGACATTTGGGGGCTGGAATGGGAGAGAGAAATTTTAAAGAGTTGAAATATTCTACGACATGTATTCCCTGCTTTAAAAAAGGTATAAATGTCCCATGTGATTTTGGTCAAGTAGAAACATCTGAACCAGGTAGAACCACAGGACCCATACAGGTTGACCGTGGCGTCTAGACAGGAACCACCTGGGCAGACCACAGGGCCAGCAGCTGCAGAGCCCGTCACAGCAGGGCAGCCTCGCCTGGGCTGGCCCCAGGACACCATCCTAAAGGGACACACAGTGCCCCTCTGTCCCTGGGACCTGCCCAACAGAGACGACTGCTCAGAAATGGCTCAGACGTAGCACCTAAGCTCTGGGAACTCTTCAAAGAAATACATAAAGGACAAATGTTGCACGTTTCCACTTATATGAGGCCCCTAGAATAGAGAAATAGAAAAAGAACATAGAATAGAGGTTACCAGGGGCTGGAGAGAAGGCTGGGGAGTTAGAGTTTCATGGGCAAAGAGTTTCTGTTTAGAAATGATGGTGGTGACGGCTGCACCACAGTGTGAACATCCTAAAGGGACACACAGTGCCACTCTGTCCCTGGGACCTGCCCAACAGGGCCGACTGCTCAGAAATGGCTCATATGTAGCAGCTGAGCTCTGGGGCCTCTTCAAAGAAATACATGAAGGACAAATGTTGTACATTTCCACTTATATAAGGCCCCTAGAATAGAGAAATAGAAAAAGAACATAGAATAGAGGTTACCAGGGGCTGGAGAGAAGGCTGGGGAGTTAGAGTTTCATGGGCAAAGAGTTTCTGTTTAGAAATGATGGTGGTGACGGCTGCACCACAGTGTGAATGTACTTAATGCCAATGAAGTATACACCCAAAAAGGGCTAAAATGGTCACTTTTATTTGTATGCATGTTACCATGATAAAAATGAAAAAAAAATCTTAAACACAACGACGCACTGGTAGGTGTCCTGTTTGTACCTGTCACAGATCAAATGGTGCAGGTGGCATGCCACGGGTCACCCTTGTGCAGAGTCTTGTATATATTGAGCTGAAGGAAGTCTGATTATGAAGCACGTCACAGAGTGTCAGGGATCTGGGCCTAATAATAACGTTTCCAGTTGATGGTTTGACTTAAGGGATTATGTCCTTATTTTCTATATGTTCTGCTGCTCTCCCATGTACAGTTCCATTTCAGGGCCACCAGAAGCAGCAGGAGTGAGGGCCCCACAGGGCAGCTGTGGGCAGGGGGTTATCAAACACCAGCTGCTCAGGGCCCAAGGAACCCACAGGGATACAAACGGACCTTTACATCTTCACACACAAAAATCCACTAAGAAAGCGAAGTCCTCCAGCTTTAGCGATGGGAACCACCACAATTCCCTCGACTGCACAGAAAACCAACCACAAAAACGTTCCCTTTGCCACAAATCACAGGTCACTAGGTCTGCGGGGCCTCCCGGCCACAGGAGCACCAGCTCCCGTTTTGCTGAGAGCTGCCTCCCAGTCCCTGGCCCTGAGGGCCGGTGCCCCCCTGGGATGCTTTGCCTGGGGGGCGGGGGAGCAGTGGGAGGGCTGTCACCCCTACACCAGACCTGAGAGCTAACTACATTCCAGTGGGGCTATGATCCATTGGAAAGAGACCCACCATGCAGACTGTCGGGTACTAATCTACACTCTGAATGCACCTGTGGAGCTGCACAGGCAGAAAACAAGACTGTTTTGTATTGAGGAGGCACTAGCATAACATTTACATAGAAAGAGGAAGACCACCTACCTGAAGGATGCGATCACTGCTGTAACTTCATCGTCGGGGTAAAAGTGCGTAACCGCATGATGTGCCCCAAGCAGTTCCTTCCCATCTTTCCACCAAGAAATATGGGTGTCCTGGTACGTGTTAGGTATGCTGATGGAGCAATTGAACTTCACGTCATTGTGTTCAGATGGCTTTATGTGGCCAACCGTGTGATTAAACGCAAGAGGCGGCAGGCGCTTGGACCTGGCCGACGGCACGCTGGGAAGGGCTGCACTTCCTCTGCGGAGTCTTCGGGGTGCGGTTGGTGACACCACCACCGAGGGCTGGGCCCCAAGGGAGAGAGGAGAGGAGGATGGCACAAGGTCATCCAGGCCGATGGGGAAGGGCAGACGGGGCGTGGTTTCTTCCCTCACCTCAGCGAGAGCTGCAAAACAGAACAGTGATTTTTAGCCTTTTAAATACTTGTGTTGCCCTAGCTGGTTTGGCTCAGTGGATAGAGCGTTGGCCTGCAGACTGAAGGGTCCCGGGTTCGATTCAGGTCAAGGGTACATGCCCG